GTGGTCATGGTCTGCTGGGTAGGCTGCATGGCTCTTCCTCTTCCAATACATTGTAGATGTCTGTCTCTAAAAGTGTCCGTCTTAGACACTTGCACAGAGGGTGATGCCATGGTCAATGTGAAAGTCTGGACAAATGGGGGCCTGGAGCCAATACTGTACCCTCGAATTTTTCCTACACCTGAAGGGGGGTCATAAGAGAATGCAGATGAAAACCTCGCTGGATAATCCACATTGCATTTCAGTTTTGGTGTTTGAAATACAACATATAGTTTGTGTGTGTGGAGTTTCTCATAGCCCAAGCAACAATTTGTGCTGTATCCTTAGAACACTACCTGGAAATAGACAAAGTTGCCTGATACCCTGTGCATTTTCCTGAACCTCCACTCAAGATGCAGTGACTTGGGTTGTACCAGGCACTGCACGGGGGCCTTACTGTCCCTTATGTCATTTAATCCTCCCACGAGCCTAGGTGGTAGTTACTGCTGTCATGTTTGTTTCTCGGGAGAGAGTAGAGCTGCTCACAAAGGATAGCAGGTAGCCCATAGTCATCACACCAGCAAAGTCAAAGTCGGAACTGTCACTTCCACAGGCTCTACTTTTAACCAGCAGTCTCAACTGGAGGTAATTTGGCTACAGGGGACATTTGGTGGGGGGTACATTTGTTACCAGAATATGGTGGTTAGAGGCCAGGGATGCCGCTGAACATCCTGCAATGCACAGGGTGACCCCTGCCACAAAGAACCATCCCTGCCCAAAATATCAGTCATGGAGAAGTTGAGAAACTCTGCTTTTCACCTAGTGCAGTGGCTGAGGACCAACCCCCAGAGTTCCCCCCTGAGCTAGAGATGAGGAGCAGTAAGTCCTTTATCCAGCTTGCTTCTGACTTGAAGGGTGAAATTATTCTTACTTAGGCTCTGAATTTTCTTCTTCAGCCCTAGAAAAGGTACAGTGTGTTAGAGATATACCTTGAGAACGGATGTTTAAAGAAAGGAAAGAAAACTGATCTTTATTGAAGGAGTGTGTGCTGGTGCCAGATTAGACACCTTTAAATTCCTTACACTGTTTATCCTTCAGAACAGTCCTTACACTTAGAAGACACCAACGTTCCCCTGAGTCCCCCTTTTAAAGCAGGGGAGAAGTCGAGGCTCAGAAAAGTTAACACACTCCAGGTCATGTAGCTCAGAGATGGAGCCAGAATTTTAACCCAGGCTTCAAAGACTCCCAGTCTCCACCTCACGTCCTTGGTGCTTTGCTGTTCTTTTTTCTTTTTCTCCTTTTGGTAGAAAATAATAGAAACTATGCTGAAGGTAAAGTAGGAAGTTTTAAAGAAGAGCATTAAAAAATCCCCCTACTTTAAATTTTTTAAACTTTATTTATGTATTTATTTATATTATAGAGAGGAGAAGGAAGGGAAAAAGGGAGAGAAACATCAATTGGTTGCCTCTCGTATGCTCCCCGACAAGGACTGAACTCCCAATCCAGGCATGTGCCCTGACTAGGAATCGAACCTTTTGCTTTGCAGGACAATGCCCAACCCGCTGAGCCACACCAGTCAGGGCAATAAGCCCCCAACTTTTAAATGAAAAGGATTGCTTTATATGCCCCATAAAGTAATCACTAGGTACCATAGAAATTCTGTACTGGTAGGAATGTAGATGAGTTGGTTATAATAATGCTTTTCTTTGTTTTTTACAGTTCTCAAGGTACATTTATTATCTATGATCTCATTTTTAAAAAAGATTTTACCATTTATTTTTAGAGAGAGGGGTAAAGAGAAAGAAAGACAGGGAGAGAAACATTGATGTGAGAGAGAAACATCCATCCATTGCCTCTTGTATGTGCCCCGACTAGGGACCAACTGAGCCGCACCGATCAGGACTGACTCCATCACCTTATTTGATCTTCACAACAGTCCTCTGAGGCTGTTGGGGGTGGGGCGGGGCAGATGTCCTCCTTTTACACCTGAAGAACTGGGCCCCAGAGCAGGGCTGGCTTGGTGAGAGGCCTTCAGCCGTGGGAGCCCGGGGCCTTCCATGCCCACGCCGAGGGCACTGTGCCGGCAGTGCCCTGCTGGGCTGGAGACGCTGGCCTTCTTTTCTCGAAAGCCTGGGTGAGCTTAAGTGAACTCTGACTCAGTAAGGGTTAAGCCACATAAACTCTTTTATGAGCTGTAACCATTTACTTCGCCCTGTAAAAAAGGGCCCCTCACAATACTGACTCCTTTCCCTGGGAAAAGGGGTGCCAGCCTCCTGGGGGGGCGGCGGTGACCTTGTAGTCCTCAAGGCTCCTCTGTGGGTTGAGTAGGTCTGGAGGCCACCAGAAGATAATGGCAAGAAATGGTGTCCGCCCTGAGGAAAGGGGCGTGTGGGCAGTGGGTTCCAAGGGGAGAACTGGTCCACAATGTCCTGTGATAGTTACTGAATGCCTTTTTACCCCCTGCTAAGCACTGTCCACGCACGCCCTCACCAGAGTCTCATTGTGCTTTGAGTGTGGGACTGTTTCCATTTTACAGGTGGGGAAAGTGAACATCAGAAAGTTTTGGGCTAAACAGACTTGGGAGTTGCTCTAGGTCATGCACAGTGACCAAGGGGACTAGGGTCTGAGCCCACATCTCCCCAACTTCAAAGCCAGGGTGCTTAGCCCTCATACCACCCTACCCTCTGGGAGTTTATTTTGGGAAGTGGTGAACAGAAGCTCTGAGCTAACCAAGGAGGTACCTCAGAATTGGCCAGGGCAGGTCTTGCTTCCACTGAAATGGCCACTTACGAAGAGCCCTGCAGGCAAATTCTTGTGAAAGAGTTTCGGGGAAATCTTCCCTGCCCATCCCCCTCCAGCCTGGAGGGCTGAGTCCTCCCTGCAGAAGGGCTGGGCTCCGAGCTTCAGCCCTTTCAGGGTTAAACAGTAACCTTTTTACTGCTTGTGGTTGAGCAAATTTTGGCGAGGAACAAGCCCAGCCTTGAGCAAACAGGAGACCGGCCATGCCCCTTTCTTCCCAAGCCTCCCCGCTGGGGACTGGGAGGTGTTCTTTTGCCTTGAAGTCCCTCATCTGATTTCTTACCTTTAGAGCGATTGCTCTGAAAAGCTGGATGGAGAAAAGCCCCGTCGTCGTGAAAAAGAGAGAAATATTTGACTTGGGTTGCTTTCTTCTTCTCTGAGGGTGAGAATCAGAGTTGTCTGGAAGAGAAGTTAAAATCAATTTAGTCACCTTCTTTATAGTATGTGTGTGGAGAAACTGAGGCCCAGGCTTATTTCTGGTTTGGCTGTGGAGTCCTGTTTTGTGCCAAGTGCTTAAGGTGCAGGAACTCATTTAATCTCCGTTCAGTGACTGTGGTAGGCATGGCCATTCGCACGTTGTACGTGCGGAAGTGAGGGTTCGGAGAGGCTGACAACTGTCGGCATGAACCCTAACCTCAGCTAGTCAGCGGCAGAGTTTGGAACCAACCCCGGCCCTTCTGGCATTGAGACTCTCACAGGCGGCACCACCATGTACAACCCAGCTGTCCTGTCTCACCGCGCCCTGGTCCCTTCACTGCCACATGGCTGTCCTTCCCACCCTGTCTTTCCTTTTCCACCTTCGACTCAGGCTGGATTCAGGCCCAGTTTTTGCCAACCAGCCATGAGGATGATGTTAGTGATCATCGTAAAGGTCTCTGTCTCGCCTCATTTAACTCTGTTCCCAGTACCTGAAACAGTGTCCAGCCTATTACAGGGCCGATACATTTCTGTTGAATAAATGAATACATGTATGAATTTTTATGCCCTTTCCAGTCCCCTGTCCTTCCTTCTCTGACCCTCCGCAGAACCAGAAGGGCAGTAGCTAAATCAGAGGAGGAGGTTTTGAGGGCTGGAACTGCTCTGGGTGGGCACTTCTATCCTGGGGAATTGGGGACCCTGAAGGATGTGAGATTCCCCCAGAATAGGCAAAAATATGTCCATAGTCTGCTGCTATCAAACTAGCTTTGTCTCCCTACCCCCACACCTTAGGGAGTGCAGGTTACCTGTAGAGATCCTCAGTAATGCTCACGCGCCTTCTGGAAATAGGCTGCTTTTCTTCTGAATGATCAAGCATTCGTTTAAACAGGGCTGGGTTCTGAAAGGCACAGGATGCCTGGCTTGGGGGCAAGAACATTATATATAAATAGATGCTGGAGAACTGAAGCAAGTATTTCTATAGTATACATTTTTTACGTTGTTTAAAAAATTGCAAGCAAGCCTTGGGAAGAAAGACTCTTCTCCCGGATCCTTTATTGAGAAGATGTGTCCTCCGACTGAGAAAGTCACCTTTTGGTCACCTTCGAAGCTTGTGGTATTCTGCAGGTCACTAAGACGGGAGAGAGAGGTAGACCGAATTTTTACCAGGAAGGAAGGGAGAGGCAATATCTTGTCAGGGAAACCAAGTGATTCCTGATACGATCACAAAGCCAGACACTGGAGGAGCTGTAGGCACACCACAACTGAGGACTCCCCGACACAGCCCACCCAGGGCAGAGTGCCATGCGGAGGACACAGGCTGGGTGCCCCGGTCAGGGGTGGCCCCGGCGTGCTAGAACTTGGAAACATCTGAGTTCAGGTTCCCACACAGGCACTGGATCTGTGCTGCGACCAGCTTGGATTTTCATTGATTGCAAGTCCACTTTAAACAAAATGTCTTTGGCATTTTCACTTTTGGGGGTGGAGGGGGAGGGGAGACAAGACTTGGCTGCTGGCCAGACTCACCCTGTGAGCAGGTATTGCATTTTCCCTCCACTTCATTCCTGAACGGAGATTATTCATTTATGAATGGGTGGCTGTAAAAACTTGCCTCATGCATATGAAAATTGAACCTGGAAAATTTTAATTGCCAGGGAGTTTTGCATTTACCGAAAGGGCCGTGGCAGTATGCTTTGGAGGCAATGGTTGGAAGGACTAGTTCTCTTCCTAAATTCACTCCGTGACCTGTACTCTCTAATGACGTTTGTCCAAGAGGCACTGACTGAATGGGCTGTTTGATCACCTTACAGATCATGATTCTGGAAGGAAGTGGTGTAATGAATCTCAACCCCAGCAACAACCTCCTCCACCAGCAGCCAGCCTGGACAGACAGCTACCCCATGTGCAACGGTAAGGGGGCTGAGGCGGTGTCAACCCCAGGGGATCTTCGCTTTGCTTTCACTAGGCTTCATTTTCCAACTTAATGTATGAACAACACGGCAGCAGGTGTGAGGTGCCGTGGGAATGGGGCACACTCTTCATGCCGGAGTCCTCTGGTCCCTGGTGCTCCAGACTGAAGCCCATTTGATACATGTCATTGTTTCCTCCCAAGATTGAAGGTCCTGGGTGGGCAGCCTGGCACAGAGGGTTGTAGAAGAGATGCCCAAAGGGGAGGTGACCTGTTGAAGCTTTTAACAGTATTTGGCTTAATATTTCAAGATAGGGTAGGAGGAAAAGGTGTGTGTGCATGTGCACACATGTGCGTGTGTGTTGCACGGAAGCATGGAAATGGAGGAAGAGGGCAGTGTAGCAGCTTTATCTTTCTATTTCACGTTCCAGTGACCTGCCTTTGTAAGGAGAGAGGGTTATGTTAGGAGACCACGTGCCCCCCTTTCTGTGCTTCAGTGTAGAACCTGTTGATTAGAAGAGGGAGGGGTGGTGGTAGGGCTTATGGAGGGTTTGGTGACCAAGCCCGTGGCTTATTGTTGAAGTGGAACTAAATCGAGCTGTTGCTGAATCAGGGCCCCACACCCCGTTGTGAAGGCGTTCAGTTCAGGCAGACTGCTGCGCCTCAGACTGCAGCGGCTTTAAGAAGCTCCGCGTCTTCTCCCACGGGGCACCTGCTGTTACTGACTCCTCACCAGAGACTCTGCCGCTCTGACTCCCCTGAAAAAATGAGAACAGCCTGGTGGTGAGCAGAGTCTGAGAAGGAGGCGGATGGAAATGGGAGGATTGTGTTGTCCAATGAGCAGCTGGTCCGTGGGCAGCTCTGCCTCTTAACTTGGAACTCCAGCCAGACATGCACAGCTGACCTTCTCTTACTTGGTCACCTGTCCCACCAATCTGCTGCCTTTTTGGGGTAGTGCCAGTTTCTGTTGCTGGCCTCAGATTGCCTGTGGGGACCTTAAAGGAGGATTCCAAATAGGGCAGGAAGGTTCCTCAGACTGGATAGTCTTTGGCATCCCTAGGCCCTTCGATCCTCAACAAGGCAGCATGCTTCCTGTTGGTTTTGGAGAAAGCCAGGGCAATGTATTCAGCAGGGAGAAGAATTTAGGTGCCATTTTTACTTCTTAATTTCCAGAAGCACCAAAGAGGGCCCAGCCTCTGGTCATGGTTGATGGCGTGGGGAAAGTCAGTTGAATGAAAGAGAAGAGCTGAACTCATAGGAGTTTCAGTGTTTCTCCTGAAATCTCAGGCATCTGATGAGTCCACGGCTGATGGAAAGAATTTCCCAGCTGACTTCACATGAAATTCTCTGGTTCTTTCAAGTTCTAACAGGATGCACTGTCAAGAACTATCCTCTAATCTGGATCATGAGACACTGAGAGAAGAAACTATTTCAGGCCCGTTTTTGGGTTATTGAGAGTTATTACCTCTTGTTTTCATTCCTAGAGCTGCACGCAGCAACTCTTAGCTATTGTAGCAACTCAATTATTTTAGGAAAAGAGAACAAAGATCTGTGGAACCACAAAAAATATAGCCCATCCTTAAACAGCTGTATTTGTGAGACCCCTCAAAAATGGAAACATCCAGTCTAAACTGTTTATGTTTATATATTTAGAAATATTTCTATGTAATTAAATTTTTGGACTAGATTTTCCCAATCCTTGTCCCCATCCCTCTCTACCACTGGCTTCCCCTCCAGGGCCCAAGCTGAGGGTTCAAGGTTGCTTTTGTCTGGTCAAGAGGTATAAGGAGTAAAGTATTATATACACCGTGAGTGTCAGGTTTTACCCAAGGTGGTCACCTTCGTGCCTAAATCATCTCAGTCTCCTGGTCGAGTGCTTCCGAGGTCTGGAAGTAGTCCTGTGTGTGGGTTCTGAAGGAGTGAGTGGAAGCGGGATTAGGTTGGAAACGTTCCCCTACAGTAGCCTCTCCCCTGGAGGCGTTGAGGGCTGGGCCATGGCATTATGGGAATCCAGTCTTTAGGGGTTCTTCAGTTTCTCGCAACTCACACTGCATCCACAGATGATCATCGTCACCTTATCATTATCACCATCAAGTGGAAGCTTCTTAGGAATGCAGAAACTCAGGTCTCACCCCAGATCTGTGGAATCAGAGTCTGCACTTGAACAACATTCCCTGGTGATTCATAATTCCATTAGCGTTGGAGGAGTACTGATCCACCATGGATTTGAAGCAAGCTGGGGACAGTTTCTGTGCTACGTGTTCCTCTGTCAGTCCCTCCTTGAGTTTGTGGGAACATCCGTGTGTCATGTTCAGTCGGATCGCCCCTGCTTCAGCTTGGTAGGCTGCAGGAGTGTATTCCCCTGTTGCCCACCCCACACCCTTACCAGAAGAGAGCTATTCCCCTTAGATCTCTGTTTACAAGGGGATTGACTGACTGTCAGACGTCTCAGGCCTCTTACCTGCCCCCAAAGGCTGGCGCTCTCTTCTCCATCTTTCAGGACTCGGGGCTGACTTTGTGATGTTCCCTTAAGCAAACATGAAATGGTAACCATACATAGATGGTTAGCCCATATAAAGCTTAGCAATTTTTATTGGCTTGACTGAACTTCTTCACTGGTATTTGAATTTAACCATCTCATGAATGCAACTCACAGCTCTTCTAGGTTCCCACATTATTTCTTCCTCAGCAACCAATTCCACTAAAGCAGTTTGGAGAGAGTCCTTAAGACGGTGCACCCGCTACGGTAGTTTCTGAAGGAGGTACAAAGATGGGTGGGTGAGACAGGATCCATGACTGTGAGCATGTGAATTACAGAGGAGAATGAGACAGTACTTAGATACCCTTGAGGATAAGCTGAACAGGACGAAAGCCATTAAGAGAACTCAACCTGCCCCCTGGAGATTCAGAGGACAGCAGTCCTTACAGAAAGTTGGGACTCTGTGATGACATCATGGGGTGGCTGGGGTTTGAAAGCTATGTAGGAATCCACAGGGAGTGATGGGTAGAGTATAAGCTGAAAGAACAACATAGAAAAGAGGCAAAAGTCACAGGGCACTTGAGGAATCGCTCGTTAAGAGCCCCAGTGCATGGCTTGGCAGTTTTATACCTAATTTCATTGGGTAAAGGGAAGCTCCTGAAGGTAACCGAGTAAGGAAATGACCTTGCAGTAGTTCTGAGAACCAGCATGGGGCAGGGGTAGAGCCGCACAGTTAGCGGATGAGTAACCTGGGCTCCTTTGGGGAGAAGCAAAGGCATCAAAGAGGAAAGAACCCTCAGGCCTCACTTTTGGCTGAAAATGGTCTGAGTTGGGGGCATGTATGCGTGTATGTGTGTGAGAGAGAGAAAAAGATGGGAGAGAGAAACAGGGAAGAAGAGAGGAAAACTATGTGGGTACGAACAATAGCTAGTAAGTTGCTGACACTGTAGTGATGCTTCAGCTTTGATGGTCCTTCGAGGGTATGAGCTCATGTCCTCAGGATTTTAGATCTCGGGTCATCATCCACTCTAAGGGGTACTTTGCACTAAGGAGGGCATCAAGGAACACAGAGGCTAAAAGTCAGCTCCTACCATAACTGGGAAAAGAAATGTATTTCCAAGAGCCTCCTCTCCAGAGCCAGTCTCATGCTCCGACCCCACTGGTGCACAGGGACGTGGTTGCATTCCTCACGCCACCAGGCACCAGGGCTACAACCCCCTGTCTGGGATTATGCCCAGGGACAACCATGGGTCACTCACAGAACCACCTCCTTTTTTGCAGTTTCCAGTGGATTTTTTGGAGGCCAGTGGCATGAAATCCATCCTCAGTATTGGACCAAGTACCAGGTGTGGGAGTGGCTCCAGCACCTCCTGGACACCAACCAGCTGGATGCCAGCTGCATCCCTTTCCAGGAGTTTGACATCAATGGCGAGCACCTGTGCAACATGACTTTGCAGGAGTTCATCCGGGCGGCAGGGACAGCAGGGCAGCTCCTTTACAGCAACTTGCAGCATCTCAAGTGGAATGGTGACTATCTTTCTCCCCATCTCACTAGGAGCCAGCTGAGAAGAGCAGGGACTCCGCAGCCAGCAGGCTCCCTAGACAGGGCACCAAAGGCTGGTCTCACCTCCTGTTTCCCAGACAGGAAAGTAGAGGGGAGGTGAGAGAACAGGCACAAAGCCTGGGCTATGAGGTGTGTCTCATCCTATAGTAACCTAGTGCAATTTAATTCTCTCCTTATGGCTGATTTTCCAGGAGATGTGCCAGGAGGGTATCCACCGAATACTTGCTACTTTCAGAAAAACCTTTTCTTCTTTGCCTTGCAAACAGGGTTTGATAGTTTCATTCCTAATTACTTGCTTGCTAAGATCATTATGGCTCCTTTTTTTGTTTAAATTTCTAGACCTAGGTTCTTTAGATGGAACCTAAGGGTATGGTAAGGAGATAAGCAAAATTAGATCTATGTTTGTGTTTGGGGAGGGAAGGGGAGAAGGCTTGCTTACATTATTTCAGCAGAGTCTTAAATGTTTTGTTAACTAACAAAAAAGGGGGTTAGAGTTTAGCCCCAAATGTCTGTCGTTGAGGTCTCACCTAGCACCCAGACAGGCACTGTTTAAACGCTGTGCCTAGGGGAGAGTTTATAGACATGCACGCATGTTCTGCACTATGTACTGTCTTATATACAAGACATGGTGAGGCAGACAGCTCATGTTGCAGAATGTCTTTGGCACTGGCATAAAGTTGCCCTGATGATGGTTATATAGAACAGGCTCCTCTGGAAAGGATGGCTATTTTGGAAAGCAGCAGCATATAAAGAATGAGCTGGCCTATCCACATCAGAATGAGCAGGTCTGTCTCAGTAGATCTTGAGTGTAGGCAAGTAGGTGGGGCTTTGAAAGCATGAGTTCCAGGCCTGTGAACTGTCCTCAGAGCCCAACAGCTGCTGTCACTGCCGAGGAGGACCCAGAGTCTGGCTGCAGAGCTGGCCGCAGTGGTAGCCATCTGGGATGACCTCATTCAGCTCCCGGCACTTTCTCCTTCCCACCCACCTCACGGAGCTGCTTGAGCATTTTTCTTTTACTAGAAACAAACCAAACAAGGCTCTATAAATAACCCCCAGGAATCTTCAGAAAGAGCAGACTTATACTTGAGGAATTAAAATATTTACCTCCCCACCTCCAATTAAATCCAGTCAGTCCTTTAAACCTTTACCCTTGATTGAAGCCTAAGGCAGGGTGTCCTGAGAGGCAATGTGGCTGTTTCTGACCTCCCACCTTTGACCTTTCATGACTTGTTCAGCCCCACTGGGTGCTGCCGGTGCCTCTTGACCTCTCACCTTTGATTTGTTGTTTGCCTCTTTGGAGATGTTCTGTTAACTTACATTTATTAAGTGTTTATGTGCACTAGGCATGCTGAATGCATTGATTCATTCAGTGACTTTATGAAAAAATGCAGTACCCATTTTACAGAGGGGACGACTAATAGTAAGAGAGTTTAAAGACGTGGCTCCTGCTCCTGAGATATTTATAATTGGACTGAGGAGGAAAAAACATGAGATTTCTTCAGATGGATATGTGTGCTTTTGTATGTGACACATCTGTAAGGCATAAAGAAGGGAGGAATCGGTGCATTTCCCCAGACACGTCTCATAGATTGGATCTAGTCAAAGTGGGTTTGATTAAATTTAACATCAAAGAAGAATAAAGCCAGTTAAATTAAAATGGTTTTCCTTGTTTTCTCCTTTTCATTTCATATCATATCTTAATGTGGGAAAGCACCTTAGATGCCATCCAATAATGACTTTTTCTAGTTTAAGCCCCTAACTTTACAGAAGAGGAAACCCAGACCCAGGAAGTAGAGGTGCCTTGCAGTTATTAGTGGGAAACTGGCCCTCTGACCTCTGAGGTTCTATTTGCACCACACTGAATGCCTTACCTGTACAATGTCAAGTAATTCCATCTGATGTGGGCACCTATATCAAGCTACCGACTTTCTACAGAAAGTTCAGGTTTGCATTTGTAGCTGCACCACCGCAAACATGGGTGATCAGGTACTGGGATTGGCAGAAGCTCTTCCAAGAGGCCGGGTCTGTCCTTGTTTAAGTTTTGGCTCCATGTGGGCCTGCTCTGACTTTCCCAATCTGTCCTTCACAGGCCAGTGCAGTAGTGACCTGTTCCAGCCCACACCCAATGTCATAGTCAAGACCGAACAAACGGGTAAGTAGTAGCAGACAAAGAGAGCCAACTTGGTAGGCAAATACCCTGGCGAGGACGAGTGGGAGGGAGTGGGAAGGAGTGTGGGAGCAGGACGGAGCCAGTCGTTTGGCAGGAAACCCAGGAACGCCTCTTCCCTGGCTGTCTCCAGTGGGCCGCTCTCCGTGAGCTTCATCCCTTGCGCTGGGGACCAGTGACTGCCAGCTTTTTCTGATTTCTAGACTGATGGTGAGACTAATTCAGCCCACACTTCTCTGCTTCCCACCCCTGGTCAGGGCATCATCCAGGCTCTAGTCCAGGAGCTAGAAAAATGCAGAGTTTAAGTGGGCCTCCTATTCACCACAAAGAGCCAGAGGACTTGGCCGGGTTAGGAGAAGCAGGAGGAGAGAAGAGGAAGGGTCAATGTCTCGCCCCCTCCTCCCTTGGTAGGAGTGTCACACAAAAAAGAGGAAGGTGCGGACTTGCTGTTGTACATACTGTGGTTTCTAGGGGCTCTTGGAAGTTCTGTAGAACTGTTGCCCCAACTCCTGCCTTATGTGTACTGTTAGATGAAAGGCTACTCTGGACCCTGAGTAGGGTTTGCTGGAGACTTGCAGGGGCAGTAATTGCCTTGAGAAGTTGTGCCTGTGGCCTTGCACCAATCAGACCCCCTTGCATATTGACCTTTGGCCTGTGGTCTCTTAGTCTAAGGAGAGCTATGCAAGTCCTCCACAGTCCACTGGCCATGATGAAACTGTGCAGCTGCCACTGCTCCAGGGTTGCTCCCCCAGTCCTCATAAGTGAGACTGCAAGCCATTGGGGCCAACCCTGAGTTTGCCACAGGCCCGCCTGAGGGTTGCGTGCCAGTCACGAAGGGCAGAATTTCAACTGGGAGTGATTTGTGAGTCATTCAGGTCCCACTGGCCTCATATAATATTTGCTCTTAAGGGGGCTAGCCCCCCATTATTAAATTAAAAAGAAAAAACACAATAGCTGCTACGCATGCTAATTAGTTTTCTCTAGCCCTGCCTTTCCCCCACAGACCAGGGGCTGGGTTACCTGGATGGTTGGTGCTTTATGGGCCTGACTGCCCTAGAGGCAGATGAAGGACTCAGCAGACAGCTGGCGTGCCCCACCCCCACAGTGACCAGGATGGTATGGAGAGGCCCCCCAAAAGTCGATCATTCCTCCTCGACCATCCAGATATTCTTGTGTTGCCAGTTCAGAAAAGCTAAGCCGAAGAAGGGTGGAGAAGAAGGTCCACCCAGGGAGGAGGGGAGAAGAGGCTCATAGAGGGGCCAACACCCCCAGACCTTTTGGTTCGGTTTGTTTTCAGAGACAACAACAGGTGTATGAGGTGACCCAACAAGGAGAGAGGGTGTAGCCACAAGAGATTGGGCTTGGAGTGCCCAAACACGTAGCTATTAGTTAAAATACCAGCTAAATCCCTGTGTCGTAAACAAGAGGACTTAGCCAGTGACTCAGGTTTTATACCTTTTATGTTGTAAAAACAAAATGAAACTCGGCCAGTGGCTCACCACCCGGCCCAGAAATTCAGAAGCTGGGCAGGAGGGGAGCAGAGGGCAGCCTTGATCTGTGAAAAGTAGAAATCAGGAAGTTCCTGCAGGGGACAGCTGAGAGCTGCCTGCCAGACCTTGCAGCTCTCGTCGGGCCAGGAAAGAAAATGCTTCTGTTGGAGACCAGCCCAGGTGTGGTTGTTGTGTCGGAGTTGGGCTTCATCTGGGGTAGGTGGAGGGGAGTTGCCTTTGAATCTGAAATCTGAAGAGTCTATCAGAATGAGACGTGCTTAGAGAGAAGAGAGAGAGAGAGAGAGAGGCTTCTGCAAGGTGAGGCATAGGGCCTGTTAAAGGTTGTTGGATTTGGGTTTTGAGAATTTTATGATGCTCCTCAAGCTAATCAGAGAAATCCCAGAGAGAGGGGGCTGTCACCCACCTTGAGGGCGCTCTCTCCAGACTGCAGCAGGAAAGGCACTGTGATAGAACTGACTAGACTTTTTCTGGCAGAAACATTACTAATTCCCCCCGGAACATAGTACTAGAAAAAGATGCTTATTAATCAGGAATTTGTCTCTCACAGTTTCTTTTTCCAGGGTAAACATATTCTAGTCGTTATGTAGTAGAAGCTCCTGGACCCACCCCCTGCCACGTGCAAACTGAGAAAACCCCCAGGAAACCCAAGCATTGGTCTAGAATAGGATCTCACTGTTGCAACTTCCCCTTAAATGCAACAGGTGTAGAACGCATGGACAGAGCTATAACAAAGCCCATTTTCCCAGGACACTGGAAGAAACATGGGGTAACATTATTATAAAGTAACACGTGACCGAAGCAGAATCATATCCCTTTTCTCTGGGGACCACCCCCGATACCCCAGGCCTCACTGAGGAACAGTGCGTTAAGAAAAGCGAACTCTCCCCACCGGGATGACGACTGTTGACCGTTCCCATTTTCTGCCCTTTGTAGACCCTTCCATCATGAACACCTGGAAAGAAGAAAACTATTTATATGACACCAACTATGGTAGCACAGTAGGTAACTAACTCCCCAGCACTTCATGCCCTTCTACATTCTGTCTTTGTTATTCTAATAGCCCAAAAGTTCCCTGTTGGGAGGGGGCTCTGAATGTCCTTGATCTTTTCTCGCTACAGATTTGTTGGACAGCAAAACTTTCTGCCGGGCCCAGATCTCCATGACAACCACCAATCACCTCCCCGTAGGTAAGTTGTCCTGACATGGGAGGTTACGTGAGCCTCAGGCCAGTGTTTACTGAGCATTAATGGGAATTACTGACATCCCTCCTACGTTTCCATGTTGCTGGAGTCTTTTTCTCATGAGAAGGCAAGGAAAGGGCTGGAGTTGCTGTTTATGAAAAGATCCGCATTTGAGCCAGTATTTGTACATTGACAATTACCAGCAAGGGTGCCTCTAGGAAAAGTATTTGTCTCCTATGAAACCAGGTCACCTTTCAACAAAAACTCGCTCTCGGGAACTTATCTGATAAAGTTATTCATACTTGAGTATATTTATGGGGAAGAAGGCTACATTTAATTTTTGACAAATGTTGGACTTCAGAGAAAGAATGTCGAACAGTGGCATTCAGAGGTCCATGAACCTGTGGCAGTGGTCTTTGGGTAGAAGGGGAGCAATCAGAAGTGTTCAGAACCCTGGAAACCACACTGCTTGGTTGGTTTTTGAAGTCTGACCCTGCCAGCTCATCAGGACTCTTCACTCAGTCAGACAAACTGTAGTTTGAAATTCTATTCTCATTAGTCACATTTGGTTAAAAGTGGATCTACCTGGGGTCTACCTGTGACTCAATCAAGGTTACACTGAATGAGATGGTCGGTCTGCAGGGAGTCTGGGGGAGGGGCTTCCAGATTATATTCTCCCTTCCATTCACAGATAGGAACGTTGGCATGTGCTGTTTAGGAATGATTGTGCCAGGGAGATGAGTAGAGGGTCTCGTGTTGTCCCTGGGTCTGGGTGGGAACTGGTGGGTCTGGTTGGGTTTGTGGAATGGAGCTTGGACTTGTCACAGTGAATTGCTCCTTTCCCGGAACTGAATTTGGGACTTCAGAACTGGGATTCAAATGACTGTTTGGAAAAGAAAGCACGGAATCAAACAACAACCCCTTTTCTCTCTCTCTCCCTCTCTCTCTCTGCTTTTGTTGAGTATGTTTTTGAGAACTGAAATAATGAAAGCTTCTGGTTTGAGGTTTTGTTTGGGTCAAGTCCCTCGAATGAGACAGGGCTGGGAGCCAGTGTAAATGCTTCTGGAACTGAAGTGAGGATCTGAGGGCGAGTCATTTCTCTACTTCCCCCTCCCCCGCAGCGACCCGTACCGCGGGTCACGCTAAGTATTTGCTGAAAGTAGGACACAGATCCACAGGGACAGGCACTGCTGCAGTGACTTTGCCCTCCTCGGGCAGCGGAGCCGAGCGGGGTGAAATTTCCGTGGCGAGCATTGCCACCCAGTCAGGAGAAGGGTTTCTGGCTGAGGAAACCAGCCACCCACTCGCTCACCTTCGGACTTCCTCTCACACCTCCCAAGGTGTCACCTCCCACATCCTTCCTGTTGGATCTTTGGCTTATGGCAAAAGATTCCGACTAAAAGTAAACTTGAACCAAACACTTCCTGAGCCTCCAGGGCTGTTAGGTCCCGAGGCGCCTCAGAAACCTAAAAACCTGCATCACAGTCCTGCTGGCCTCACAGCCTGGCCCCTGTCCTGTCCTCTCTGCCTGCCCTCCAGGGTCTCAGAACGCACAGGGGCCTCAGCGGCCAGTTCCTGCTTGCATAGTTGCATTAACGGAAAATTCACAATCTCCTAAGTCCACCTACTTTAGTTTTGAAAAGTCCTGCTTCAAATGGCCTTTGCACACCTGCTCTACCTCGTCAGCCCTGATCCTTTGTTCCCCCGTCCATCATTCCTGTCCCGTGACTGTGACCCAGGCTGGAGAATGAGATGATCAGTTCAGGTCCTCTGCTGGAATTATTACTTCGAGAATTGGCTGAGTATCAGGGGTTGGCAAGTTCTGTGGAACAACAGCCCTCCAGTAGGATATTTACTTACAGCCCCGGATGGGTCGATTCCTTTCACTATAGTTCAGCACCTGTTGGATGGCACCAGACACCCCCAGCCCCCCATTTGCCATTTGCCTGAGTCTTTACCTCTCAAGCTCCCATTACACTGCATGCAGTTAAATATCTTTCTATGTCTTAATGCAAGTTACAAGTTGAAAGGGGGCGGGGCCCAAGGTAAACTGATGCCCTCTGTGATAAAGGCAGGTGGGGAAGCTTTGTTTTGATTTCTCTGCCATCTGCCCATTTCATAAAATGGCCGCCAGGGTTCTCGATCTGCCCGATGATAGTCCTCGGGCCAATCACGCCAACTCAGGCTTGATGTGTTTATTCACTGACTAGCTGAGCCTCCAGCTAGGGCGGCGAGGTCTATTATAACCCTGAAATTTGTATATCCCGTAAAGAAATGGCTCACAGCTGAATCATATGCAAATGCTTCTAATCTTCACTTCTTGCGAAGCAGCTTAGCTGAAGTCATGATCTGGCACTTGCATCACGGACCTGTGGGTTCATGCGGCCCCTGCCCTGCCCGGACCTCGGCCTGAGGTGCCTGGGAGCCCAGCGGGAGGAAGCCAAGCCAGACCACTTCCCCAGAGCGAGCCATTCTTTTATAAGCGTGAATCATTTAACCACAGGGCTGCCTTCAAAGGCTTTGAGTTTTTTATTTGGGGGTGAGGGTGAAGACATCGTGGGGGAGGCCATCCTAGGAAGGGGGGGTTTGAGAACATCTTAGTGCTCAGGCAGGTCAGCGATGCCACAGCTTGCCCGCACACCCCGGGCACGGGACAAGGAGGCTGGAGGAAATGAGAGTTGCCCTTCGCCTTCGGCTGCATGTTCCTTCACATGACGACGGGAACATTTGTATTTGGGGATTTTTTTTTGTATTTGGTCTTTCCAAATGGGATGAAGGTGTAGCCTAGGTGAATGGCTGACAACTCAAAGAGAAAATTCTCTCAAGGCCTATCTGGGACTTTTTAATCTGGTGCCCATGGACTCCTGAGTGAGCCACCAACCCCCCTGAAATTGTGTGCAGATGTTCACGAGTGTACTATGTGTGCCTTTTTCTGGGGGGAGGGTCTAAGGTCTCTGTCTTATTCACAAAGTTACCTTAATCCCAAAGTAATTGATTCAACATCAGCTTGGATCCCACCATACACAGTGATCGAGGCCAATAAACTGGGAGATGCTGGGGTTTTTTGTTGTTGTTGTTTTTTCTGAATTCAACCCCGGCTTTGAAATAATGGCCCTGCATCTCTCCTGGCTGCCATTTGAAGATGAGCTTTGCTTGTGGCCTGCTGGGTAAATGCCACCCTTTGTCTGAAGAACAACGTGGCCCTGTCAGAGTGATGTATCACTTGGAAACCGGGGACAGTGCCAAGCCTGTCGCAATATTGTCACATCCTGATAGGATGTTGCAACCTAACCCTGAAACCTACAGGGAGGGAGAGTGAAGTCTCCTTACATTTCTTGTGAATTTGTCCTTCTAGATTTCAGAGAAATCCAAGTCAGGTGCAGGTCTCTTGCTGACAAAGCCAGTGGAAAAATCCTTAACCAGAATAAGAATTATTTTTTTCTGAGCCAGATCTTATTAAACCCCTCTTCCACATCTGGCTGCAGCCTTCATAGAAACTGCGGGGACGCTGAGTCGTGACGAGCCGGTGGTCTGACAGGCATATGTGCCCACAAACACTGGGAAATACAGAATCACCACATTGCAATTACTTTGCCCCACCAACCAGAGCATCACGGAGCTGGAACTGATTCTGGGCAGGGGAGGCCTTCATAAAATTTGTTATGTGCCACCAGCTTAAGGAATGGCATAGAACAATGGTTATGAGTAAAGCCTTCCACTTCAAACCGACTGTGGTCACATCTTAGCTCTACTCTCAGGCTGTGTGACTTTAGACAAGTCATTCAACCTCTCTGTGTCTCGGCTCCTCCAGGGCTTTAAACTTTGGATCGTAACAGTACTTACCTCATAGGGTTATGGTGTGAATTAAATAAAGAGATTCATGTAAAGTGCCCAGGCCTATGCCAAGTACATAGTGCTCCATAAACAGGACCTGTTCTTCTTATCCATGTAAATTAGGAGCTAATGGCTTATTCAAACTTTTTAGAGTAATGGACCACTCTTGGCAATTGAATGAATGCTATGGAGCTTCTCCCTTTGCATATATTTTCAGCCAATCTGAAATGCCCTCGAAGGCCACACCTGGATTAGTGAAGCCTAGCATAGGAGGACATAAAGCGACACGGCAGAAGAGATGCATTTTACTGGTCCAGTTTCTTAACAGAACGGGCTTGGGTGTAGGAACTGCTCTGCATTAAAACTGGTAGATTTTTGACTGTGCAACTTTTCATTGTTGTTGTTTGGATCTGCCTTGGTCCTCCCGATGCCTGACGTGCCTGCTAACAGACATGCACACACACACACACACACACACACACACACACTGCTAGGTTGTTTAGTTTCCTTTTCAAGAAGTTTGAGTTCACAGATCCGCCTCTGTCATCTCCTCTTTGGTGACAGTCACAGGGGTAACCATAACGAGTCATTTGTTAAACTAATCTGTGTTTCCATAGTCCCTGTGGCCCTCTGTACTGAGCACAGGCCAGTCAATGGACTCTTTGTCAGGCTGATTAAAATGTAACTTTGCATGCCAGAAAAAGGCACTCCTTTGGCTTAAAAGCCATCTTTCTTTGTTATAATGTTTACATTTTTTGTATTATGAAAAATAAACCCTTTCAATGACCTAAATCCTTGAATGGCTTTCCAAGTCTCTTAGAATAAAAGCTAAAATTCTAAAATCCTACAAAGCCTCAGTGGCCTGAACCTCGGCTCCAACCCTCTCCCCCTGCTCACAGGCACACTGGCTTCTGCTCTGTGGACATACCAAACACACACTGACCTCAGGGCCTTTGCATTTACTATTCTCATTCTTGGGACACTCTTGCACAAGCTTGCTGCATGGCTATCTCCCTCACACCCTTCTGGTCTCCTTATCAGAGAGATCCTCTGTAGCTAGCACCTTATATTACATTGCAAATTAGTCCCATCTCCATACTTCTTACCCTGCAATATTTTTCTCCATAGCACTGTCTGTTATGTATTGGTAATTACATACCAGAAATGTGCCAATCCTGTAATAGGTGCTCAATAAATATTTGTTAAAAGAGTGTATGAAGAATGAAAACGATAATGGAAGGAAATAGGTAAATTAAACAGCTCTCATTTTTCTCTTTAGCAGAGTCACCTGACACAAAGAAGGAACAAGACCACCCTGCCAAGTCCCACACCAAAAAGCACAGTAAGTTGGCTGGCTTTCAAAGGGCATGTAGCCCATCCCTTCCAGCTGGGTGTCACCAGAGGTTACTAGTTTTTAGACAGATATCACCTCTGCCTGCTGCCACCATTTCTTCACCTCAGACTGGGGTGGGGGGTGGAGAGAAAAAAGAGGCCATGCTTGCAGGCAGAGGAACCCCTCTGTGGTTATTTCTCAAAGCAGAACCCCAAAGAATATCTCCCCCTCATTCTGTCTATTTGTTCTAAAACTGAGATGCCCAGTGAATAAGAACCTCTTGTAGTCACGGGGTTAGCAGTTACCTTTCTCCAGAAAAGAGGGTGGGACAAGGAGAAAGATAGGAGGAGACTGCTGAGCTGTATTACTGTTCTTTCGCTGAATGTTGGCTTCCTACTTCTGGGGAATTATTGTTCCGAGAAATGACTGTTAATTCTTAAGAGTCAACAGTGCTCCTTGGGAGTTGTATTTCCCCCCGTAGTAAAACCTTATGAAAGTTTTAAAGTATGAAAGTAAGAAATGTCCGAGACAAGTCTGCAGGGACTGGATATCCTTCTCACAGAGTGGACACAGAACAGAGTGAACAGAGCCCCTCAAAACCTGGGGGGCCAGCGTGAGTCTGTGAGTCACAAGTCTAGTGGGGGTGAGACCGATTTGGACGGCTAATCTCATTACAGCTACCTCTTCATTTCCAAATTGGCCCCCTCAACCCCAGCAAGACCGTGCCCCAATCTATCCTAGGACTTAAAACTCTAGAACCCAACTGATGTGAGGTGCGGTGGCAGAAGCACAGTTGCTGGGTGGGAGTGATTTAGTTGGTGGAAGTACTTACTAAGGGAAAGCGGTGAAAAGTTGCCTTGTGGGGAAGTCGCAAGTTGAAATGAATCCTGGACGATGTGTCAACAATACTTAGAAGGCACTCCAAGTACAGGACACCTAGGACCTTTCCTTTCCTCTTGGCTTTTTCGCTAGTTAACTAGGTAACTTGGTCAAGTCGTTGACATTCTCTGTGTCCCAGTTTCCTGACTTGGACTAAAAAGAAAATGTGCTAGTTCATTCTCAAATGCCTTTTTAAAAATGTGCACTATTTGGGAATGCTGTGATTGGGCTCCGCTGGTGGGTGGTGCGGAGAACTGAGTCTCTGCCATTTGATGGAAGACGTCCCAGCACCGCACTTGCTCGGAGCCTAGTCGGCTGCGACTTCACTCAACGCCTTTTTCTGCTTCTCAGACCCGCGCGGGACTCACTTGTGGGAATTCATCCGCGACATCCTCCTGAACCCAGACAGGAATCCAGGGTTAATCAAGTGGGAGGACAGGTCAGAGGGCATCTTCAGGTTCTTGAAATCGGAAGCTGTGGCTCAGCTGTGGGGAAAAAAGAAAAACAACAGCAGCATGACCTACGAAAAGCTCAGCCGAGCCATGAGGTGAGGAGTCTTGGAACATGCTAAGGCTGCACGAGCATTAGTTTGCGGGAGGCCTAGTCCGACCAGCGGCCTGACACGGTGTCCTTTGTTACAGGTACTACTACAAAAGGGAGATTCTGGAACGTGTGGACGGGCGCAGACTGGTATATAAGTTTGGGAAGAACGCACGCGGATGGAGAGAAAATGAAAACTGACACCTGGAACCCGAACCGAACCAGCCCCCTTCACCTAACGAGCCTAGCTCCTGGACGTAAATATTTCAAAGACGGTTTTCTCTGATATTTATGTGCCAGGAAGGGGAGAAAGGAAAGTCCACTTCTAACGGGAGAAGGAACACTACAGTCGATACAATTATTTTGTTACTTTGAAGTATATCCTATGTGGGGAACAAACGTACACAGTTTTCTGTGAACTATGACGCTGCATGTGGTTTTGTGATTTGTTTTTGCCTTTATTGTGAAGTTCTTTCCACTGCAAGAAGAATGGGGTTTGTGGCCTGTGCTTCTTGCTAAGAGAAAAGAAAAAAACGTCAGAGGGCATTAAATATTTTATATGCAAAGGATTTAGGAAAAGATAACGTGTCCTTCGCTCGCACATAAGCATCCACACGGCCTCATCAAGAGAGGCGGGCACAGTTGGTAGGATGAACTCCAGGGTCTCGGATGGACAAGACGAACCAGAGGATGCTGGGAAGTTTAACCTGCCCCTTAGGAGCCACCGAGTGGAGAATGAGGACTCCCCAAATCCAGGTGGACTGTAATCAGTGCATAATCACATGACTTGCAATGTTCAAATCAGCGAGAAGAATAATGGTGGGGGCTTTCTACTCGTTCAGGAATGATTTCCCTGATGCCAAGGCTCTCTTCCCTCCTTCCTCTTGGATGATTGGTGAACAACTTCAGTTACCACCTCTGCTAACTTCTAGTTATTTAAGAAAGGGGCCAGTCTTGGTTACTTTATGACAATTGCCTAAAAATAAATGGGAAAAAGGAGGTGGCGATGAGTTTGCTCTTGTATTCCTATCATCTCTGTTTTCTCAGTTGGCACAATTGACACTTGTGGTTGAACAATTCTTTGTTGTACATTATTTGGCTGTCCTGTGCATTGTACGATGTTTAGCAGTGTCTGTGACCTTTCTTCACTAGAAGTCATAGGAGTCGTGGCCACCAAAAATGTCTTCAGACATATGCAAATGTGCCTTGGAGAGGAAGTAAATTGCCTTCGATTAAGGCAATGATTTGGCCAGTCAGGATGGAGTTGGTGATTTACTCTCAGAACAGTGAGGTATGGAAGATCTTTTAGTTCCGAGGAACAAGCAAAAGCAAGACTTCAAAGTCAGCCTATTTTTAATTCTTAAATTATTAGGGACAATGGGTTTACATATTTAGAGGGACTTCTTTTCAGGACTCCAGATGAGAGCTAACGTCAGATACATTGAACAAGGTAGTGCAGCCAGAACTAAAGGAAGACGTTTTCACTAGAATTACAAGGCGGAGTAAAAATTTTATTTTAGAAATGCTAAGAGAAAAATGGGTGTGCATGTATTTGTGTGTGTGTGTGTGTATGTGTGTGAGAAAGAGAGAGAGTTCCTGGGAAAATCATCTTTGCAGGTGTTAATTTTTATAGTCTTTCCTCTTTTCGATCATCTTTTTCCTGTCTCATAAGAATCCTTTTCAAAGTGAATGTGTATTATTTAGACTTGCAATTAGAGGAATGTTGAAAAAAAAAAGACAGAAAAGAAAGGAAACATGTAAGAGAAAAAAACAGAAAAAAGCTAGGATCTACAGTCAGTAAGGAACTGGAGACTTCTTCAATGTTGGGGTTGTTTGGGTACCTGGAGACTTACCACTGGGTCCCACAATCTGGAAGGATTTTGAGCCTGTAGGTGCTTTGTGAATGGATTTGAACATCCAAATCCCGTTTGCAACTTTTCTTTTTGGCTCTACGTGTCTTTGGTGGCTTTCTTTTTCCTCCTGCCTCTCTTGAGCAATAATACTGTGGGGCTGAAGACACGTACCAATGCGAGGGAGGGGCCTTCAGCAATCAATGGATCACCTGCCACAGTGTCTTACCCAGCGGAGGCGAGCAATCTTAGTCCAAGATTGTAAAGTGTTTGTGATGTAGTCAGAAGGCTGGAAGTGAGAATTAACACTGTGTCCTAGTTATAATGGCCACCATGCTGGATGGTGACCTTGGCACACCAGGGTACTGAGATGAATGACCTTCTGAAGGTACAATCAAGTCCATTTTTAGTTCTGCCTGGCTTGGTCCCCTCCACAAAGGCGTTACTTAGTGTTGTTAAGTAACAGTTACTGAGGGAACTGAGAGATATAACAGTTTGCAGCCCAGATCTGAGACATTCATGTGTAAAAGACACACCTTGTTTCCCAAGCCAGGCTAAGAACGGTGAGGCCTCCCCAGCATTTAACTATACTTCACACAGAACAAATTCTATGTCTAGATATTTTAATTGATGTAAATGCCTGGATATTTGGGTGCCTGTGTATGTCTGAATTGTGTGAAGATAGTAGGGGCAGCTGCTAATTCTCTTTGCTATTCCTTCCTTGGCTTTGCTTGTTCTTCATCTTAAGATGGCTACATTTTCTCTGAGTTTACACTTCCCCAAACCTGTAAGTTTCTCACATTCCCCCAAACCGGCCCTTTCGGCACCCTCTCCAGAGAAGAGCAATCTTTGCTAGGTGGTAAGTGAGCCTGGGGAGGACCAACTAAAACAGTTCTAATGGTATTAGCAGACTGTGTTATTTCTTGAAAGTGACAGTTTCTTGGCACCCAGTTCCTACTCAAATAGGCCGGAGTATTAAGTTCTCAGCATATATCTCTATTGTCTTGGCTTGAGTTGGATGCATTTTCCATGTGCAGTTCGTGACTTGGAAAACTCAAGGTAATCAAGCCATGCCCACCTGGGGTGTGAACAGAGGACTTCTCACCGCAGTGCTGGAAGAGTGAAATCCCAGAGGTAAGCTGGCATCAGGTGAAGCAGCGCCTCCTTTGGGGGACACATGGCTTCTCCCTGGGAAGCTGGTCTGGCTGAATGCGCACAGCGTCACTGCATATGGTCTCCTTGAACCTTCCTTGAGCTAAGGGCTTGGGCTCTTACTTGTAGTTTTCGTAGGAACCAGAGGCAGGAAATGTTTTGCTAAGATTTTACCAGACTCAGGTCATCCGAGGGGCCTAGGTGTTTTACTTGATAAGACTTTAGCAAGGCCCTGACTCCTGGGGCCATACCTACAGCTTCTTGAACTTGCCTTTGAGCCAGGCAGACCTAGATTAGGAGTTTTTCTTTAGACAACCTTGTCCTTTCTCCAAGTTTTTGCCTTTCTAGACTGTAAGCTCTTTATGGGTAGGCACTATATTTTATCAACATGTTTTCTCTGCACCAAGCATGAGATAGCTGCTCAATAAATATTTGGCGAGTTAATAAATGAATGTCTTCTGGAGGACCCTTCGGATTCGGAGGTCATACCCAGAATTGGGATGCGGATCACTTCTTCACGGGAACAAAAGCACAATGGCTGTCACTTCAAAGACGTGTTATCTGTCAGATGAACACTTTATTGTGAGATTCCTTACTTTGCCTTCCTACTTGTGCTGAAATGAAACCAAAATGGGCTGCTTGCTTCCACAAGTCGTGTGTTGGATGAGAATTCTGTTGCCTTGTTAGGAACTGTGAGATTTATCTGGGATAACAAACCAGGAATGAACCTTTGACATGTTTTAACCAATGAAGATTATGAATGTGTTTATGTGATGTAAATTGTTATTTAAATGTAAAGCAGTTCTAAATTTTAGTATTGGGGGTTGGTTTATACATGTATACATATATATATATATATATTTTTCTTTTTGAAAAATACGGAGGGATCTTTTCATAAGGTGAGCCATGCACAGTAGATTTCAGTTTTCCAAGTGTCGTTTTCAGGTATACAGGGAAAGGTATAATAGTAAGAGGGAAAGAATATTATTCTTCTGTAGTTGAAAAAGAAACATTTGTTGAGCACCCACTATGTGTGCTGTAGGGAACCATTTCTGAAGAGCTTCTCTGATTCCATGGGGTGTAACAGATACTCCATGTGAACCTAATGGGTGCACACTGGTGGTATTAAAGACAGGACAGCATGACAGGCACGGTGTCAGAGCCAAGGCGACCTCAGTGTTGGTTCTCAGGATTTCATTTCAGCAACAAGAGATAGAGCATTCAATAAAGACCCTTTGAAAGTAGGCCTTATGAACCACCAACACATACATGCCTTCACAAGTTTAGCTACATCGAGACGAATATTTTCATAGCAATCTTCATAATTCTTGCTTTTATTCCCATCTGGTTTCTGAGTAGACAATTTTTTTGGAAATGACCTTACTGCTGCTAATTTTAAAAAATTAAAAATCATGCCCTTTAAACTATGTTAAGTTCAAATTGAGTATTCTGCTTTTATAAAAGAATAAGATTTAAAAAAATATATATATATTTTTTGTTTGATGGGCCCCAGAAAACACTAATAAAAACCACAGACTGTCTTGTAAATGTGTGTTGTGTGTTTCAACAAGCCATCCACTACAGGGCTGAGAGGCAATGCACTTAGTCTATAGCACCAAAACACATGCAGTTCCTGCATTTAGTCACTCAATGTGCATTCACTGAGCATCTATTCTGTGCCAGGCACTGTCCTAGGCACTGAGTTACAGCAGAGAACGAGAGACAAAAACTCTGCTCTCATGAAGTTTATGTTCTATTGAATAGAAACAGACAAGAAACAGAACAGTAACAAATAAACATGACAGAGCAAGCATGTCAGACATGTAGTCGAGAAATGAAAAGCATGGAAGAGGTGTGTGTAGGGATAGACTGCAACTTTAGGGAGGGGGAAGAAGGAAACATTCCAGTAAAGATCTGAAGGATGTAAAAGAAGGAGTCATACATGTAATTAGGGGAATGATTCCCCATTGGAGGTACCAGCAAGTGCAAAGATGAAGTGAGTGTATTTCTAACATGTCCAAGAAACAGCAAGAAAATCTGCGGGCCATAGTAGATGAAGCAACCATAGGAAATCATGCAGAAGAGGCTCCAGCAGGCCAAATCTCATAGAACTTGGAGGCCATTAATGGTGGCTCTAGTTTTTCTTTTGATTGAGATGGGCAGCATGGAGGGTTGGCCACAGAAGAGTGAGAAGCTCCAACTTCTGGTTTAAAAGAATCCCTCTGGCTGTTGTGTTGAGAATGAATTGAAAGAACATATTGAATGCTGTGTACATTCTCAGCCAAGGATGAACAAAGTGGGGTAGAAGAGATTGCTTTCACATACAGGTTTCCAACATAATACCGAAAAATATTTCAAGGCACTCAGTGAACTCTGCCAGTTCATGATATATTTCTCCCAGGCCCAGAAAATCCCAGTCATTCAGTCACTCACCTTCATAAATAATAATGAAAATGATAATAGCTAACCATTTTTTGGAAGAGCCCCATAGTCCCAGATACTGTGATATGGTCTTTACATACATTTGATCTTCATAGAAGCCTGTGATATATACGGATTATTCCCAACTTTCAAATGAGGGAAAATGAATGTCAGAAAAGGTTAAATGACTTGTTCAAGGCTACACAGCTAGTAATAAGTGGGAGAGGTGGCATTGTTCACCCAAGTCTCTTTTTCCCAAAGTCCATACACTTAACTCTCACTTGTCTGGATGCTAATATTACACACACATGCACACACACACACACTGTCATGGTTAATACTGAGTCAAACAATGTATTTACAGGGTTATTCATTGTTAGGGTTTCTCAGAGCCTTTACTCTGATGGTGGGCATTGTGAATCTGAGATGGAAAAAGTGTCCCCAACTTTCCAAGCCTGTTTGACAATGGACCCTTTTTCATCAAAGAAGATTTTGTGAAAAACACATTTTTAAAACAGTACCTTTAAAAATACACATGGGGAAATTATCTTTAGAGATTATTTCTCTGAAGAAGCA